GTCCCCAGGACCTTGGATGTGTGTACGTGGACATTCTGGTAGCCAAACTGACCACCAAGGTGTACATGGACATCTGCTGACGTAGCCATTGTGGCTGTATAAAAAGGGAGACCTGGTAATAACGGATATTTATGAAGAGACTGATAATTGAATTTGCCATTAGCTATCCTTTGACGGAGGCAAAAGCAGTTTCAGGGGTAAATGGTTGTACTCTACCTCAAATAGCCATTATTGAAATATATTTACTAAGACTAAGGACAACTGCAAACATTTTCAGACAGGTAATTTTTGATCAGTTGATTATTAAGGATGCTTCTGTACTGCATGCCTCACAAAATGTAAGTGGTTCCAATGACATAGGTGCACAAAGCGTGGCTGAAAGGGGGGTTCCATGACCCCCACCAGCCCCCACCCCCCACGCCCCAAGATCTGCCACTGATCAGATTCAGCTAATGGAGAATGAACCGTTTATTTACTTTCGACAGCATGAATTCATTGAAAGGTTAGGAATTCACTATCAACTGTGTGGATCGATGGAAAGGTGGGGATTTACAGTGAAGTGGTAAAAATAAGTAGGTGAGTGTCCCCTTTTTAAAAGGGAGGGATTTTCGCAGGAACCGGAGGGAATTTCATCCATCAATTGGGTCTGCTCTCGTGATAGCTAAATGACAGCACAGTCATAATCCAAGATCACGTGAATTTAGCTATTGGGTTTGGTTATACCATGTACCATGACCGCGGAAATAATGTGTGTTTTTGATAGGCGACTTCTATAATTACAAGTGGAAAAATCATTTCCTCAAAATGAAAGGGGGATATAGGGATGGCTTGAAGCACCAAAAAGGAAGAAACAAGGGGTCATTACACAGCAAAGATGCACAAAGCTACATGACACCATCCCTATATCTTTGTCTCATATTAAACTTTACTTCAAGGTAAACTGTTGCAGAGTGGAAATGACGGAGACGGCAAGCGCGGCTCTTTCCCAATTAGGGAGGAAAATGTAAGCAGGGCGAGATTGGTTGTAAACAATAACACAAAGATATAGGGATGGTGTCATGTAGCTTTGTGCATCTTTGCTGTGTAATGACCCCTTGTTTCTTCCTTTTTGGTGCTTCAAGCCATCCCTATATCCCCCTTTCATTTTGAAGAAATGATTTTTCCACTTGTTTCCACTATTTTTCACGCCTTATGACAACACTGAATTTTCAGTCACTCTGATGTTCATGGGTGTTGTAGAGATAACTGTTGAAAGCAGAAGCTAATGGGCTGCTCCTACCTGAAGCAGGGTGTATGTGTAGTGTCTCCAACAAGGATGCAATTAGATTATGGCACATATGGTGGGGTGGTTTCATAGGCAGGCTTCAGTAATCAGACTACAATGATAGCTATAACCTGGGGGACAAAGAATGAAGGCGCCTGGCAAGGCACGCGTAACACGGCGCAGATTGCCAAGTTGCTCCTCGTGCAAATCAACAGCAAAACGCAAGCTAGCCACTTACAAATGTGCACACTGACTTACAGAAGGCACCGAAGGATGAGAGTAGTTTTCTCTGAAGGCATCCAGTCCTGGCTTAGTCTCGTTCGTGGACCAGGTTTACGAGACAAAATGCGCGCGCGCCGCATTGGAAACGCCCTCCTCGGCGCATGCGGCTCACTGATGCTGAGTTAGCAACAAATGGCGTTGTTCAGTGACTACCGAGGAAGAGCTCAACGATCTACCGTAGTGACTTGCGGCAAGAAAGAAACGATCGCTTGATATGCATGCACACCTCCGGCAAATTCGGAGACGTTCTGTGAAAAAATCAACGCTTCAAGTGCTTCCGGTAAGGAGCTAGCGGGTCTGAAGAAGAAGAAGAAGAAGAAGAAGAAGAAGATGAAGAATATGATGATGACACGAAAATCGTGAAATTGCGTATGAGCGAATTCTCGCGTGGACGACTGAAGGTGCGTATGAGGTCTTGGGGGACATGTATAGGTAGATATGGGCCCGTAGACTATTGCTAGTATGTTTTGAAGGCCTAGGGAGTGATTCTCACCGAGATTTTAGTCGTTTTGTACGCGGATCACGTGAGATTTCACCCGTGTCGTCCCTATATAGAGTCTACCGACTCTCTGATTAGAGAAATCCGCATCACCTAAAGTGCAGCCAGGCTGGCTTCGCTCGTAGCACAATAACGCAGTGATAGTATGACGTAGGCAAAGGTTCTGACTGCCACCGGCCGGGCTTCGCAGCAAAAATGAGTGTGGTCCGCTGGCTGGTTATATAGTGGACAACCTTCCGCATACCCAGAGGACCCACATTCTGCGTTATGCCGCTAGAGCTAGCCCAGTAATTTTTCTTACCTTGTATATATCTTCAGTCGACAGTATATAATTCTGTCGGTGTTAGCCACGACCAAGTAAGAGTCTCCCCCTGGCGGAGCGAATGGCGGAGTCAGTGTCTAAAGAGTATTCATGATACATTCTTCCTTTCCCACCCACTTTTTTCTAATTTGGTTAGCAGGGTACTATCACTGATGAGAATGAGCAAAATGACAGGAATTTTCACCAGTTAGTGATTGTGGGAGATAAAAATATAATTATCAAATGACAATTTCCTTCAAGTGATATTCATCTCTGAGTAACTTCACAGTCTGCTGGTAATGCCTGGAAAAGAAAAAGATGAACTAAATGACATGGATACATAGTTTATGGAAGCAGTTATGCACTCTATACAGTCGAACCTCGTTAATATGAACTCCAGGGGAACATCAAAATGTTCATATTAAAAGGAATTGTAATAGTTGAATTAGTGTTATTAAGCAGGTATTTCGCTTTAACAGTGTTCGTAACGAGGTTACACTGTAGCTGCTTAGTATTATAGCTGTGTACAAATGTGCGCATAAAGGTTCCGACACACATTCCAGGTCTGATGATGGAGAATGATCCGGTGTGACTGAGGTCTACTACAGTAGAGCCCAGTCTACTGGCCTCCTCTTCTCCCCCTCTTCCTCCATGAGAGATGACTCCTCCATCCACCACCACATCCAGAGACGACCACAGCTCTCGGAACTCCTGAGAAAATGATATAATATCACCGAGTCAGGTAATAACTGTAGCTCTATCAGGGTGAAAATGAGAGATGTACAAAAGATTCTAATGGCTAAGCAATCATAATTATATATTAGAAATGCACACAGGTATATTACATGATAGTGCCACATTGTCATAAACACAATTTAAGTATTAATGTTGACCTGTACAGAGAGAGTGCTGGAGGAGTGACTGAGGTTGGCACTGGTGAGGGCCAGAGGACAGCCACACTGCTCCACCAGACAGCGGAAAAAGGAGGAGTCTGGGATCCTGAGTCCCACCAGAGGGAGTCCCGGGTTGAGGGCAGGGTTCAGGTCTCCTCCTCTCTCAAAGACTGTGGTGACTGGCCCAGGGAGGAGACTGGACAGGAGACTAGACGGAACTGTCACTTTGGCCCACCTGGTGCAAGGAACAATAACAGTTGAAGCTGCTTCGAAGGCAGTGAGCAAAATCAGGCAACCTATACATATAGCTGTCTGAATTTCGTGATTATTTGATGACGTCCAGACAGTAATGGTTTAGGTGATGCATAAAACCGCTTCAATTTGAAACTGCCATTTCCTTGCTTCGAAGAGAAGTTGAAACTAGTAAAAATTAAGGAGTCTACTTCAATTGAAGGAAGTTCCATTCTGCTCAACACAGAACACAACATGCAACATAACTCACCTATAAACCTGCTCAACCTCACTGACACAGATTGCCAGGGGCTTGTCTCTCAATCTCCCCTTCATCTCGTATATCCTCTCTATCCCCTCGTTACTTGAAACTAACGAGGCCACGCCGTAGATTGTATCGGTTGGTATGGCAACGACTCCACCTCCTCTCAGAGCAGCAGATGTCTCTTGCAACACTTCTTCTAGAGTTTTCTGTGGCAAGAACAAAGTCACACTCACATAAATTTACAACAACTACTAATCTAGTTTCACGCAAACAACCAGCAAAACGAGTAAGGATACTTTCCTGACCTATAGCTAAACCTATGTAGCAGTACCAGAGATCTCACCTGGTCTACGTTCTCAATACTGAGGACCCGAGCCATACCGAGTAACGAGCTGCCCGCTACTCTTGGGAGACCTCCGAGTCTTCTGAGACCAACCAGTCCACCACTACATGACGCAAGGAGCAGGCGCATCAGAAGGAGCTTAGAACTGCAGAGTAGAAAAAAATACCGCACGCGCGGCGGCACACGCACACATCAAATTCAGTGCGCATTGGGTTAATTGTAGTATTTTGGTTGCTAAGCGACGTTGCCATAGAAAGCGGCCTGAGGCATAGGCCTGAGACTATTATTCCCACAATTTGTCCGGATATTCTATTCTGAATTTCCTACTCCACATGCCTATTATTCTTTAAAGTTTACCCATTATTCACAGAAATTTACCTATTATTCTGCTTCAAAAATGAAAAAAAACAGTACTACAGAGCAGGCACATAAATAAACATCACGATCATTGTACTGCAACATAACGCGCGTCCACCCGGCACTCACACTTCGCCCTTCCGCGAGTTCCGAGTTGCCGCCGTTGCCCGCTCGTCGCAACTTTCAACCTATTAGTATAGGTAATAGTGCAGTTTGGTGTGGTATTAGGGATTAATAGGGATGGAATTTTTCAAAATAGTATGAGGCGAAGCCGAATACTATTTTTTTTAATTCCATCACTATTAATCCCCTAATACCACACCAAACCGCACTATCACATGTTAATAGTATAGTGCTGTGTATAGTGATCAGTGTGTTATATAGATATAGTCATGCTCACAAGATCTTTCGCGACACTTGTTTCTGGAGCTGTAACTTGTATGAAGTATTTCACATTGATTTCCTAGTCACTTGATTTGATTGGTCGATTTTCTGGGGAATTTAAATTTTCGGGGGGTATTTCAATTTTCCAAGGGTATTACGGTGAAATAGTTAAATTCTCTATGGATCAAATGTATTGGCTGTTACATAGTATACTATTATTCTTGGAATTATTCTTATTCCCAGAGGGACCTATTATTCCCGAAATTATTCCGGAATAATCGACGCAGGCCTACTGAGGCAGCAGGTGAGCATGAAGAAGAGAGAGAAGTCACCGTGTCAAGTAGAGTTCTCCGAGGAGATAGTTGAACTGGTGAACGACGGCTTCCAGCAACAGAGACACACCTACCAGCTGCAGAACCGCGGCCCAGGCTCCGTGAGGGTACGGGCGGCCATCGGAGCCGACAGCGACCCTGTGAGTAGACCTTCTCCCAGGGTCCATAAGAGCCTTTGCCTAAGAACCTTTGGCCACTCTGACGGGAAAGCCCTTAGCTACAAACCTGTTCTCGGTGTGGTGTCGTGCAGGTGTTTGTTCTGCTGAGTGGCAGTGAGGAGAAATACGTGGCTCCAGGTCTGAAGCTGTCCGTGGTCCTCCAGTACTCTCCTAAGGGAGATGATGAGGCCTGCCACCATCGTGGCAGTCTGGAGGTGTTTGTCAACTCCAGTCTCTCTCTCACCATTCCCAGCTCTGCGTTAGTTCACCTTATGCTGCATTTTTCATTTTTTTCATGTTGTGCATAACACACTCAGAATCATTTCTTTCTGTCTGCATGAGTTGACCATAATTATTATGCGCATGTTGTCTGCAATTTTCAATCCACACAACGTTTATGAGTCTGAAAGTGCTCATTGATAGAGTGTTATTCAGATAGCTAGAGAGATGCATTTTACTTGAAAAACTGTGTTGTCAAAAGAACCCAAATGTGTGTCTGCATTCCTCGCGAACCCTGCCCCGTATGTCCTGCAGTGTTCCTCGGAGTCCCAGACTCCACCTGAGTGAGGAGGTGGTGGACGTGGGGTGTCTGGTGACAGAGAACCAGATCCACACCACCTCCTTCTCCCTCTCCAACCTCGGGACTCGTGAGGGAACCTTCTTCATCGACACCTCTCCTCTCCCTGGCTGGATCTCCCTCCAGCCCACCACTGGCCACCTACTGCCTCTACAGTCCACTAGAATACAGGTATGACAATACATCATGTGTAGTACACAAAACATTAGAATACAGGGCTCAAAAAGTCTTTAAAGAAAACAGCCAACCACGAGCTCAAAAGTTTCTTCTTTGCTTTATTGTATATAGTATGAGCATCTGTATGTGTGTTGTATTGCTGTGCAGTGTTACTAGATCACGTATATGATGTGTTTTTTTTTATCACAGATGGAGATTTTGTGCAAGGAAGAAATTGAATTCTCCTATGCTCTCAGGTTTGTATGCACAACTCCATTTTCCAAACTGTTTTGGGTATTAAATAGTTATGTGCCTTCATATGCAAATTCTTACTGGGAGCAATCCATGGAGATGTGCAGTTCAACTTCACTTGTATGTACCAACAATGTACCCTCTCCCTCAGAATCAGTACGTCAGCTCCACCCACTGCTGTTGACACCGCAGCTTCTAATACTGGTGGTGAGGGTGAGGAGGCAGCTCGCTCTCTCCTCCTGACAGTGTGTGGGAGACTGGAGTCCAGAGCTCTCAGGGTCCTGGACCCTCTCTCCCTCTCCTCCCTCCCCTCCCTCTCATTCCCACCCACCTACTATGACACAACTACCTCCAGGTTCTGTTTGTGGCAGTCTAATACTAGAGAATGCTACACATTTTTGGGAAGCGAAAGTGAGCAGTTCAATATTTCAGGGGTGGTTTGAATCACTTAGTACGGTATGTGCAGTCACATTATAGAGTTCCCGTATTCAGAACAATAGGGAGACTCACTTCACTTGCCAATTAGCAATTGGGCCCTGTGCAGAGTGCATATGATGGGTAACCGAGAAGTTAAATACTTTGGCGTACAGCCTTCTGTTAAAAGCGTAAATATGTCGCAAGCATTACTCTTTGCTAATGATGTAATAGCTGTGAAGCAATTGCTGAACTTTCAAAGGAGAGGGAATGTATAATAAAAGTTGTCCCCCACTCACTCCAGACAAGTTGTTCTGTTCAATGAGAGTCCAGTGTCCACTGACTACCTGTGTCTCCTGGACAAGAGAGCCCGAGGGAGTGAGGTGGGTGGGGCAGAGGGTGTGGCCATGGCCCTCACAGAGGGAGGTCCCGGCCAGAGGAGGTGGAGGGAACAGGGCTCCACTCCTCCTCACGAGTCTATCATATCTGTCCTTCCTTCTCAGGTACACCTGTACACATTGTGTGTATTAGCCCACTGAATTTACATGCACTACGTACTATGTATATACCTGTATGTAGACCATATATCCCATACTGTAATATTTTTACTACATACATAAGTGTGTGTAAAATCGATTCTGTACTCGGATTATAGCATTATTGTAAGCCCACTCCCTCCCTTTGCTGTTGAATGGCAAAAAGTCACATCTGAAGTGACCCATGTACATAACAATGTTGGCAATTACCATAATAGTGTTAATAGTCTTCCCTACTCACAGGGTACTCTGCTGCCTTATGAGAAGAGGATATTGGAGCTGACCTTTGCTCCCAGGTTCCTTTCCTCCGACAGTGGGTGGAGCAACTTCCAGGCCACACCCACCAGACGTGACTACACACTCTACCTTCGCTTCCTTGCTGTTGACACCAACAGAGAGTCAACAAGTATGTACACCACATTCTACCTAATCTTGCTTCGTATTGTGAAAGGAAATGACTGCCATAATGGCACCGTATTGATGTTGATGATTTCTCCACTCCAGCCTCTGGAGGTGACTTTGAGGTGGCAGTGTGTGCAACTGCTCTACCATTGGACATACAGCTGGAGCCCAGCCCTCCACTACAGTTTGGAGCCACTCCCACCATGTCCCCCACCACCCAGCATGTCAAGGTCTACCTACCATTAGTACATCTCTTTTCAGTTTCCCAGCTGGAAAAGAAACACTGCTTGTCACTACTCTAGTACACTTGGTGATGTCCTGTACACCGTTAATGCTAGCAACAGAGATGTGCGGGACATATGGCTTTCTGTCCATTTCTATCTCTGTGATACCACACTACGCAACATGGCCTGTAGGGGCAATAGGACATACTGTGAACCCATACTTTTTACCTACAGTCATGTTACACATAGTACAGCAGGATGTGTATTTCCATAGGTCCACAACCAGTCAGACACACTTCCTCTCTACTTCACCACTCACCGTGTCCCTCACTACACTTGTCACCCTCCCTCCGGGCACATCCCACCCTCACACACCCTCTCCCTCTCCCTCACCTTCACTCCAAAGCAGCTCGGACCACTCAATGCCAGACTACTCATCGACTTACTGACTTCAAACTCCAGAGTATGTATGACATGCACATTACCTATTGTAACACATTGTAGTCTGCAGGTACATACTATTGCAGTTCAGAATGTTAGTCCGGCGTGCATTGTTAGTCTTCTGAATGTGTACTACTAGTTCCTCCGTATACAACTTGTGTATATCCAACAGCAAAACAAAAAAGGTGTTTCATTCTTTCTTCATGTGTATTTTGCATTATAATGCCAGGTGCTTTTGTTTTTCAAGAGGAGTTTGTAGTTCTGTACCTGAAATGTCTTTTTGAGATGCTGCAGGTGAATTGTGTATGCTCTGCTGACCCTTTCTTACAGAGTGGTAAAGAAGGAGGAGTAGTGAAGACACTGGTGGTGGATCTGAGAGGAGAGGGAGTGAGTCCAGGGTCTGGGGGGAGGGGAAGAGGGGACGAGAGTGGGAGTAACATCAACTACGCCCATCCTGATGACCTGGCCACCAGTATTAGACCTTACGTTGGATATCAAGTCGTGTAAGTAATATGTACTACTCTGCTACTGCAGCAAAAAGAAGTTGTCAGGAGTGGGATTCGAACCCACGCCTACATGAGTAGACTGCAACCTGAACGCAGCCCCTTAGACCGCTCGGCCATCCTGACTTACATGTACATATGTCCACTGGTTCACAATCCAGTAGAGCCTTTCCCTGTTCTGTTCTATTGATGGACGTTCTTTGAACTGTGCGTTAATTAAAATACTACAGTAAGAGTCAACAAATGTTTTCAATTTCGTTCATTTGAAACTTTTTTGACCCCTACTGTGTCTTTTTATTGACCACATGATGGTGCCACATGATGGTGCGCATCAGCTCTCACTCCCACCCACTATGCTGCAGCACCCCCTATACGCGGACCCCCCGCTACACGTATGTGGACAGAGACTATGCCTACAGTGAGGCAGAGAGACGCGAGATCCAGTGGCACAGAGACCACTACCTTCACTACCTCAGACACTCTCAGGCTCTCCGACTGTGGAACAGGAGAGAAAGGTTTGTACTGTATTCAGATTGTACGAGTTTTCTATACTTACACATTAAAATAGGAGCCATGGTGTCTTTGGGTGCCTGTAAATTTTCCAAGAGTACGTGCGCATATTATGCGTGGGTGTTACACGGTATAATTCCACACCTGCCCATAAAATAGGAGCGTGTTCCAAGAGTGAGGGTGTTACACCTGCCCATATGTAGGTGTCCCAAACATGGTTCAAACAGTGCTGAGATTACAGTTCTGCAAGTGTGGTACGGAACAACCCACAAGAATTGTTTTTAATGTATCCCTGTACAGAAAAGTGAGCGTGCAAGAGAGTATTTGCGATATCGAACCTTTTGTCCTCACTCAGAGCTCTGGCAGCAGCAGCCTGTGGACCAGAGAGGGAGCTGGGGCTGCTTCCTCTGAAAGCTCCTTCCAACTCCCCCACTGTCTCCAGTGATAGTTCTGCCAGGTGGAGGAAGAAGAGGAGAGGAAGAGGTGCTGGTAAACCTGGGATCATGACTACTGATGATGTCACCACTGCCACCTCCGTAGACCTGGTATGCAAGTAGCTGCACAAACAAGTGACCAATGCAAAAATAGATGTAGCATTTGCTGTATTTCTGATAATCTGTCTCTGGAGAATGCATATGCTACTCTGCTTGTGTTGCATCTTTCCTTTTCAGAGAGAGGTTGAGCAGTGTTCAACTACTGCTGAGAGTCAACAAGTGGCCAGTGAAGTCAATGCTTCCCTCTCTCCATATCAGCTCTCTCTTATCACAATAAGTGAGTGTTACACATGTACATATATAGTTTACGATCTGTGCATGGACATTAAAATGGTAATGTTAATGCGCCACTTGCTTTTAAAAGGGTAAAAGTATGAATTGAACCAAAAAATTTAAAGAATTGATGTCAGGAGTGGGATTCGAACCCACGCCTACATGAGTAGACTGCGACCTGAACGCAGCGCCTTAGACCGCTCGGCCATCCTGACTGCTTGTGTCACCCCTGTGTTCCCTAACAGGCACAGGAGTTCTGGACTGTGGTGTGATCGCAGTCAGTTCAGTGGTGGAGAAGACTGTAACAATAAAGAACAGCTTGAACCAACACATCTGTTTCACTTTCAAGGTTTGACCTATACAGTTTGCTTGCGTGTGTATTTACAAGTCCACAAAGATAGTATCTAATAATAGGTGTTTCCTTTACAGCTTGCTGGGTCAGGAGTGAAGAGTCCACTGTTCCCTTCCTCTTCATCCTCCTCCTCCTCTTCCTCTCATCTCGTCCTCCCTCCTCTGTCTTACACCAATCTCCCCTTCACCGTTCATCGTGACACAACGGTCTCCTTGTGAAAGGTGATTCATTGCAACATCATAGAGTACACCACATTTATTCACCAAATTCCTCTTGTCACACACTGCTCGTGAGTGTCTTGCACTCTTGGTTGTATGACCACAGCGGACAAACTAAAGCTGCAGCTGGGGAAACGGGGCCAGAGTGACCCGAGACAGTGATAGCGAGCGAGGGAACGCTAGCGTGCTTTTGTGATGACAGTACCCCTCTCTCCTCTCCATCTTCCCTCTCCCTCTCCCTCTCCACCAACACCCTCACACTCTCACAACCTCCGTTGCCCCTCCATCTGCTGGTACATACACCACTCTACGTTATACAAAAACCTACTTAATGCATAGATTGAAGTTGTGCAACTGCCACGAGTGGCAAGGGAATTTATGCACAATTTTAGCGTGTGGCTTGGATGCTTAAGAGTTTAATGCCACCGTGTGTATGTGTAGCATGATGGTGCTGCATTACTTTGTG